CCCCCCCCCCCCCCTGGGCGGCCCCGTGAATCAATCAAGGCTTATCACCGGGGAGTGGGAGGCGGAGGCGGCCCTCAGGTCGCTGCTGCAGCGCTTCATGCAGGAGAAGGAGCAACAGGAGGAGGGCCAACAGCAGCATCGAACGTGGGCAACCGGTACTGGTTCAGCCGCTGCTGCCACCATGCATACGGACGGGGGAAGGCTTTCTTTGCCAGCAGGGGGAGCGGCGCCTGCGTCCCCGCCCCCCTTGTCTTGGGCGAAGGGAGCAGCAGCTGGGGGGGGCGGTGGGCGGGGTGCAGCCAAGGGGGGTGGAGTGAGGAGAGGCGGCGGCGCTGGTGGTCATGGTAGCACGGCGGCGGTGTCGTACGGGGAGGGAGGGGGCGGAGAGGAGGAAGATTTAGACGAGATTGGTGATTTTTGAGGTGATATTTTCCGGGAATGTGTTTGTCTTCTCTGTGTCTCGGACGAACGACCAGTTTGGTCTGGGCTGTTCGGCTTGTTCTTGTACGACTAAGTGCATGTCTGTGTTTCCTGGCTCTGAGCAATGCTCTTGCCAATGTGTGTACAGAAACTATAGTGTGATTTCCCATTTTCCCGCGATCAGTGTTGGGTGATTTTTTGTGTCAGGCAGAAAAGTCTTGTCAGGCGCACCAACGTCTTGCGGGTTGTTTCTTGTCTTTCGTTGTTTGCGTGGTACGATGTATCGTGGTCCGTGTTGTCGTCAGTGTCGCTGGTTGGTCCGCAACCTTGTTTGTCGTGTGTTACTCTATCAATGTTGAATGATCCGCAGCTGATCGATTTCGCTGCTGCTGCTGTTGCGGGCCTGTAACGTTCTTGGATGATGCAGACGGAGGCTTTTTTTTTCGTTGATACGCCAACTCAAAGCAACGGGTGCTCTCTTCGTGTTTGTTGTATATTTCTTGAGCAAGAAGATGAGCGGGGGCAGCTGAAATGCTGCGTGAACATGGTGTGCGTATGTGCATTTTTTTTGGCGAGTTGTTGTTGCTCCGTGGGAGTGAGTGTGCGGGCGAGACACAATGGAGGCGACAACAGATTCGTTTCTCGACATGACTACAGCAATACGGAAGAACGAATGTATAGGATTTGTGTGTGTCATTTCATTATTAGCATCGACCGCGCTAACCGGCTGACCAATGAAAAGACGTCAGTCTCAGTGCGGTTGAAAACACACAACACTTGTACAGCAGTATCTGCCATGAACTGGGACCCCGTGATGGGGCAGCATGTGTGTGTCCGGCCTCCTTCCTCTCTTTTGTGTTGATTCCGGACGCCAGACAACACCAAGTACAGCAGTACAGCAGTAAGTAGCAGTAGCAAGATGATACACACGCGCTCGGTTCTTTGCGAAAGAACCTCCTTGCTTGTTTATTCGAGCGAAGCGAGATTTCTAATCTTGCCTGAGAGGGCTCAGCGCAATATAGGGGCCGATGCAGGAAAAAAAGTGCGTGCGTGTGTTGTGTTCGCTTAAACTAGGTTTTAGAGTACAGGACTTGATTTGTGACTACAGGGCGCACTTTTTTTTTTTACACAGCAGAGCAGCAAACAGCAACAGCAGACAACACGCGCTCAGCGAGCAGACTGAACACACACGCACAGCAGACAACACGCGCTCAGCGGGCACAGCGACACACCAACAGCGCAGAGCGGACACAGCCACAGCGGCCTGCATGGCATGGCAATTGCATGATGAGTAGACGTCCGTTGGGGCCGATTGACCCGAACTCCCTCCGTGAGGCAGAGACGCACACAGACTCGCGGCGCAGACAAAGCCACGGGGAGAGGGAGCCCCTAGGCAGCCCACAGCTTGACCGGGCGAGAGCTGCTGCTCGTCAGAGGACTGCCGCCAGGCGTGCGGCGGAGACCGATGGAGCACGGGCAGAAAGGTGCGTTGCGTGTGCGTGCGTCTGGGCGGCGATTG